CTAAAGAGTGACGTCACTGAAACGCCATCTCTATAAATAGCCGCGTGATTCACACTGCTCGTTCGTGTTTAGTAAAATAGCACTTTTCGATTCAACATTTCGCTTTAAGTTCTTTTCCTACAAATCTGAAACCATGGTAAATGTGACTTCCGGATTTTATATCATGGTACTTCTGGAATGATTTACCAGCTGAATACCCTAGAACATTGAAAAACAGTTTACGACTTAGGACCTAGATAAGAAAAACGATTCGCGTTTACACACACAGCATGCCAGTGGGAAAGTGTTCGAGAGATGGGCCAAACTGGGTGATGATGTCATCTTCACGTGTAAGCTAAGCACGAGCCTACGAGTAGACAGATAGGGGAGATATGTATTAAAAAAACAAACAAAAAAGAAACGACAAACAAAATGTCTTTTGGAGAGATGCACATAGTATAAAATTATCTTGCGATAAAACACATTTATACGCTGGAATTATGGGAAAAGACTGAGTGTAAAGCATCGAGTCAAGATGTTTTGTGTCCGTTTACACCTTTACTTGAATGATCGGTACCCAAATATCGTTGCTAAAATTTATTTACTTGTTTGTTTTCAAGTACAAAGCTACACAGTGGCCATTCGCTGTGCAAATTTTAGTGTTATAAGCCCTCAAACATACATTTGAGCTACCAGGAGCCTATTGCGAAGATAAAACGGATCTTTGAATATATATATATATAGTTTTGTCTTTGTATTGTTACTTCTCTTATTTAAGAGCATACAAAGATATTTTTCATCGTGGGTGGTAGATCTCTGTATTATTTATTACTTCTCCATACAAATCACAACATCTTAATTAAACATAGGGGACCAACGGAGTTCGAACGGAACCCATTCTGAACTTCTACTTCCAACTTTGCCGCGTTGAAAATGTTACATGCATTCTATTACTGAAGGGTCAAGGCACGTTGGTTTGATTGTACTAATAACTCTGACTTCAAACATAAATTATCATTGGACTTACAGTTCATTATAGCGTACAGCGTAAAAACGTTTTATCACTGTTATTAACCTAAGCGGGATTTTCTTGATTTGTTTTTTTCAGAGCAGAGCGTGGCCTAGTGGTTAGCATGCACGGAATGTGAACCCCAAGGCTCATGGTTTGCGTGCTGTTGTTTCAAAAGGGAGTTCTACACTTTGGGGTCGTGGGTGCGTTACAAGAGTAGCAGTTAAATCTCACAAAGATAAGAGTGGCCAAAGAGTTGACGGTTGGTGCTGCTGGCTAGCTGCTTTCCTTCTAATCTATCACATTAAACTTATGGACGGCTGTGAGCAGACAGATAGCCCTTTTTTGTAGCTTTGAGACAAAATTATCCAACAAACAAATAAATCCTTGTGTAACGTTGAGAGAAAACTTTAAATACATGAACAACAACGCCTACATTTTTACTAACCTTTACTTGAAATTAATTAGTTATAAATATTAGGAGGTTATATACATTACATCTTGATCACTATCATTCCTTAAAATCCTAGAGCCAATGGCACAGCGGTATGTCTGCGGACTTACAACGCTAGAATCCGGGTTTCGATACCCGTGGTGGGCAGAGCACAGATAGCCCTTTTTTGTAGCTTTGAGACAAAATTATTCAACAAACAAATAAATCCTTGTGTAACGTTGAGAGAAAACTTTAAATACATGAACAACAACGCCTACATTTTTACTAACCTTTACTTCAAATTAATTAGTTATAAATATTAGGAGGTTATATACATTACATCTTGATCACTATCATTCCTTAAAATCCTAGAGCCAATGGCACAGCGGTATGTCTGCGGACTTACAACGCTAGAATCCGGGTTTCGACACCCGTGGTGGGCAGAGCACAGATAGCCCATTGTGTAGCTTTGTGCTCAATTAAAAACAAACAAATATTTTTTGTTTTAAGTTGCTGTAACAAAGAAGAAAAATAATCGCTATCAATATCCGTTAGGGCTCCTGCAACAACAACAATGGTTAAATTGTCTTGCTCTTTGATCTAGTACAAGCTGTTAAGATCGATATTGTTATACATCGAAAATAACATTTCTCGTGTGTTTTTTTATGACGCTTCCTTACAAGTTCTACGAGTATCATACAACTGTCTTATCATTACTGTTTAAAAGCTGTCTTCGTATCATATTCTAACTATACTTTCGACATTATTATACGTAATATTAAAACGTGAATACATTTCAACGTATTTTTATGACGATCCCTTATGACCCCCACGAAAACAGTACAAGTGTCTTATGATTACTGACACACAAGATGTCGCTAAAACGTCTTCTAAACCGTAATTTTGATATTATTATTACGTAAAACTATTAAAAGGTAAATAAGTTTTTTAAGAAAAGTTTATTGTGATCTCTGAAGATTGCTAAGCTCAAGTTGTCGTATTCTGTAAGTTTTCTTTAAATAAATCGCTTACTAAATCACGGTTGTGATATATATATCTATGTATAATCACTCTTAAGTTTACGGAAAATATTTTCAAGACATATACTTAAGATTTCTATGTCTCATTCTAAAAACATTAGCATCAACTGACAGTAAATCGTTTTCTAAGCTGCTATATCAATATTTATTGTAATAACTTCCTTCGGACAAATTTTTACTACAGTCCTTAAGGCTCGTAAGACATTATGTGTGTGTCGTTTTATTCTTCAACATAGCACAATTAGTAATTTTTTAGACTACAAAAATCAGCATACTTAACTGTCATTCTTGTAACGCACCAACTGTCCTGAAATGCAGATCGTCATTTTTGTTTTGCGAGAATGGGACACGAACCACCAATCTTCAGATCCTCATTCCAGCAGGCTAAACTCTATGCCCCCTATTGGAAGGACTGATGTTGTAAATAGAATTATGTACTTTTTAGAACATATTTTTCTTGAATATATATATATATACATATTTGAAGGCGCGTTCAGACCATGGTGTTAAATCATAAACAGAAGACATCGCATTTTCATTAGCGTCTATTTTAAAACGGATGAGGAAAAAAAAATGAAATGAAAAAATATCGGTTTTTGACTAGGTTTGTATTACAAGCCGCTATCGTCGGCATAGCAGAACGTTCCGTAATGTCGGTGTTTCTTACTTTCTTTTAATGATAGTCGAATGTGGTTCGTGAATCATTGTGAATTTACTATTTTTCTCACATCCTGGCAAAATGAGGCTTCTAAAACGAAATAGGTAAATTTATTAGGATTTCATGCTAGACTTAGATTGTTAGTCATGGGTCACTACTACAGCAAATGCATGTTAATATTGAATATAGTAGGTAGTGCTTTACGCGAAAAGTCTTAAACAAACAGTACTATCGGACGTAGTGATTTTATGGTTACTCTTCTCTAAATATGTTTCACACATTTCTATTCACACTTCTGAGCCTTTTATATGGGAAACAAAATTAGATATGCGGCACAAAGTTTGTTGGTTTGAAATTAAGCACAAAGCTAGACAATGGGCTATCCGTGCTCTGCCCACCACGGGTATCGAAACCCAGATTCTAGCGTTGTAAGTCCGCAGACATTCCGCTGTGCCACTGGAGGGGGCAGCACAAACTAATTTAATTCCTATGAAACTTGTACGGCAACTGTTGAGAAAATTCAACATTGATATCCAGATTTTTCTAGGTTGTAGTACTCACAAAGGAAATGTTATCAATGTCATAAGCGGCCCTACCAAGTAGAACACTCTCACAATTAGTGTCAAACCCTGATAAATAAAGTTAGAAGTTGGCATACTCCTGACGTACTGTATTTTCTATATCTCTTAGATACTGTCTTTTAACGCGAATTAAAAAAAATGGGCCCTTAAAGTAGAAACCACCACTTCTGTGGAAGATGCAGCGACTTGATGCTGACTAACGGAAACTAACTAGTGATTTAAAACTCAATACAAAGTTCACTCCGTACTATTTTAATTTTTAGAGGAAAGAAGGGTCCTGTTAAGGTGTTGAGAGGGAGTGAGACGGAAGTAGTATTTTCTCATATTTTCATAAACTCAGACTCCAAAACAAACACTTTTACCTAGAACGTTTGTATAAATTAACGCGTCTGTTGGTAATTCTGTCAATCTACTTTTCTGTATTATTATTTCATTGTGTTTATCATATTGATTAGATGGCGCTATTGATCGTGTACCTGTTCTGAGAAAGTAACTCCTGAGACTTAAATGTCAAAAAAACCATGTTTTAGTAATAGTGAGTATCAAATAAAAGGGCAAATGATGAGAAGAAAAGGGGATGTTACTCGACAAGTTATAAGGTTCGTTATTTATGTTCCAGCCACTCGCTTAACATACGTCATAACCTCATACGAAGATAACCTCAAAGATGTCACCTTTTCCTCGATCACAGAATCAGCCATAGATTTAGGGTATTTTTTGAGATTACTACAAATAATACTTGTTATTTGTCATAAGTTTATCGATTTTCATAGCAAGTATCTTGGACTTTAAAAACTGGTTTTCATCTCTTAAGATAAGTGCTATCTTTTTTACTTCATCATGCGAAGATGGTAAGCCAATTTCACTCAATAAATGGATTTGTCAGTTTTTTAGTGAATGGGTACGTGCTTAAATAATTTTTCGTGTCTTGGCCTTCGTACTGTTGCCTAGCAACACCAACTTGTTCTCGAAATCAGTCTCCGGAACTGAACTGTTGACGACAGCGACCGAAGTACATTCGGTGGCATCTACTTCAACAGCGTTCATACGAACTTCGTCTTTGACGTCAGTCTGACGTTTAATAATCGGTAAACTTCGGATATCTTCGTTTACCTAATATGGGCATAAACTCCGTCTTCGGTTGATAGATGTAGACCTCATAGAATTTTAATAATGTCTTTTTTCTTCATATTTTAGGGGTTCTGTAGGGCCTTACATAGGTTTCCAAAACTAAACCTTGTTGGGTAGGTATTGAAGATAGCCAATAAACCTCTAGTGACCACAGATTCGCCAACTCCGCCCTGTTATGTCGGGTACCAGTTGTCGAGAAACAGTCGGCCTCTAGCTGCGCGCGCCTCTCAAGCAAACGCGTACACCACGCAAAGAAAAAAACAAAAAAACAAAGCTTCAGCTATCTCTCAGCCTGCATGTCATTTTGACGTCACGGCACTGTTACAAAAATCACTGGCGCGCTTCTCATTGGTCGAAATTAAGTTCCGGTTGCCAAATATGGAACTAGCTACATGACAGACTCCATTCATGAACGATAGAGTATAAGAGGAAGGATTCATTCATGTAGCTAGACTTTACGAGACAACAGTGTACAAGGACTCAAATGTCAAACGATTCTTCTCCTTGTAATGAAAGCGATAACGACGTAGTGTCGACTGTACCTTATTGTAAGAGGTCTACATAAACTGTGTCACGGACGTTCATTTCTTAAACTTGCTTTCGTCGAGTACCGCTACGTCAGTATCTATCTTCTTGAGTCTTCGCGAAAGCTTCGAAGACACACAAAAAGCCGTTAGCATGATTATGGACGGGTTAGACACGCTTTCTCAGGTCGCCTTGATCAACCAACAGAATTACCGCGTTAGTTTCGATATGCTTAGTCCTTTCATCACGTCTGATGATGATCAACTCTCGCCCCAGCACGAAAAACCCGATGATTCTTCCCGGGAAACTCCGAGTTCAACCACGGCTGCAATGCCGGAAAGTGCCGACGACAGCCTCAACACACCGGTATCAACTGGGAACGGTTTTCTGAACTCTTTTTTCCCATCTGAGGACATCCTCTCAGATCCAGTACCCATTACAGGTAAGCATATTTAATAGAAACATGTTATACATTCTAAATGGGACCTTACATAAATGTGTTTAATATTATTACAGTATTGAAACGTTGGATCAAAACATGAATCGTTAATAGACATTCGGTTCGATTAACACTTGTCTCAAATTTGTGTGCACACACACACTCATACAGCTGAAATATACTTTTATATAATTACAACTTACTTTTACGTACTGATATCTACAAATTTACCTATACTTTGATTTAACTTAAAATGTTGTGATATCACTGGATATAATGTTTTATTTTCAATATTTATAACCTGAAATTTCAATTTTAATGTTTAAATAATATAAATTATGTTATCCTAGACCCTTCGTAACCTGATTTAAACAGTTGTCCGAACCAGTTTTACTTAGAGAGTATGAAGTGATGACCTGGATTCAGGTGTTCTTATTCAAAAATATAATACATAATCACAGCTGGTAAAGCACGGAATCTAAAGACATGCCCTCTTCTATCTTAATGCTGGCTTCACCATTATACTTCATTCCGTCACGACTTTAGTCTCAATGACGTCTGGTTGACGTAAGCGGGCAGTTAGGCGTAACGCAGATAGACGTCAAACTATATACTCTCGTTTGTAGATGACTCTGTTTCTATCTCCTTAGAAAAAAAATTATAAGGTATAATTTAAATTTTAAGAGGTAGAATTAATTCGTTTGGTTTTTTCAAGAGCCTTTTGTAAAGACAAATTTCATTTTTACACTCCAAAGTTTCAGGTTATCGAGAGTACGAGTGCGCCAGGACGAGTTTATTCTATTTTTAGGGATGTTCAATAAATTGAAGGGGATAAAATTCAACATTCTCCATATATAGTTTTCAACGTAACCTACTATACTTCATACTTTTTGAAGTTCGTATTTTCAGAGCACAACGAAAACGTTTAGTTCTCATGAAACGAGTTTTTGGATAGGATTTAAAAGTAATAAAGAGAAGTGAACTCATTTTTTAGTGTTATTGGTTGTCAGCGCTTGCCGAGTGTCGTTAAAAAAATAACAAAAAACATGAGTTAATAATTATGACAACCATGTGTTAACGCTAGAAGACAGCGCCAAAATAATTTAATCAGTGACAAGCAGTTGAAAACATTCATTTCACTGAACATACTTTTAGGATTTTGTTTTTAAGCATAGCAGTGTACAGGTTTAAAAGAAAGTATCGACAGCTCATGAGTACGAAGTTAAGAATTTGATGGCTTTATTTGGATAATTCACTCTAAGGATCTTATTGTCCAAAATAAATGTTTTTAAACGTTGAAGTTTGAATACATATGTAGTATATATCTATCTGTTTTTTTCGTGTGCTTGTCTTTTGTTACCAGAAATGCATGGAGGGCATGATAAAGAATATGAAAATATAAACATTTTACGATATACAAAATGGTATGGTTTCTTCTATCACACCTCATATGATTACGTATCTTAACAGATGTTGTGGCATATGTGATATAAACATTTTAAAATACTGATGCGTTTGTACAGAGCTTGTTTGTATTACATTTTTTACAGAAAGTTGGGACACAAAAATACAAAAACAGCAACAAGTGTACTAGCTGTCTTATTGAAACCTTCCTTTGTTAATAGTTGTGTGAAATTATTATTTTTTCTGAACACACAACATTTATATAGTATATTTCGTAAATGAAGAAGGTCAAAAGCTAAGCCTTCAGTATAGAGAAAATCTCGCAAATACAAAATATTATGAGATAGCTCTCAGCGAAATAAGAAGTCTAGTTCTTATAAAGTTTAGAACCAGGTAAGGAGTTAGGCTTCAGTCTATAGGTAGCCAGGAAATAATTCTGAATTGTAGAAGTTTGAAAGGTACAGTGTATGCTTAAGTTCGGCGTATGCGTTTTTTATGCTGTTGAAGTGTTTCGAGTATTACAGTTGTAAAATACTCGAGAAACTTTCATTGGATTATAGTCATTGATTACATCATAACATTAGCCTAATTTGACGTTAATTATTTTAATATGGTGCTTTTCTGTATTTAAGCAGTTCTTTATTCATAGAAAGATTTGTACTGCTTAACTAATTTTGCTGCTAAACTCCTTGACGTATGTTAATGAAATTGATAATTTTCAGAAACTATCGATCAAGCCCATTTCACACCTTAAACTCTTTATCTAGATATGCTTTAGATATCATACATGCATTATTTCTAACTATTACTGACACCCAATATTAGCCAGTTTACAAGCTTCGTTAAGATTAGTTCGCCATCAAATAGCAGATGCAATTAGAAACCTACCGGAATTATAGTTCTGTACTTTAGTGACACTACCGCAAAATAACATGAAGAAAAGGCTACCATTTAAATGCGTACGACAGCGTTAGAAGTAATCTTAAAATATATTTTTTTTTCAATTCAAGTTACACACGTAACTATTATTTTGAATATACATCTACTGAAGTTTTTTAGGCCTAACAAAAAGTGATTAAATCATGTTTGACAACAGCCATACTTTTGTATTTCATTCTCACATTTTAACTTAAAATGTGGAGACGTTTTCTCTCTCTCTTTTCTTTTTGCCCTTGTTTGACAAAATGTATTAATTTTGGCGTGCAGCTGAGTCAATAGACGCGAAAATATAATAGTTCTCATTCAAACATCACATTTGATATTTGATGTAAAGCACAGAAATAGCAGATCTGTGTTGAGAAACGAGAATGCTTCTTTAGTAAAACTAGAATATCGCGCATCGTTAACTGAGCCTGGAGTTCTTAATTATCAACATATCACAATGATACATTTCTGTTATGATTTGTTACTTTCGACTTCTTGGTCTATACGAAAATTATGGCCTGTTGTTAAGTTGTTGCGTTGAAGGCGCCCACGAGATCTCGCCAGTCCAGTATATCACGCTGTTTTGAACCGCAGTAAGCACCCTCCAGTACTGTGAGCAATTAGTCTCCACAAGCTGGCCAGCAGATTGGTTGGCTGTCCAAACACCATGATACCCTAGCAAAGGAGACTTGTTCCTTTGTTTACACTCTAACATTAGTGTCGGCTTGGGCTGTAGGATACAATCTCTCTGTTTCGTTTCTTGCCATATGCCGTACGCACGACGTAGCACAGCCCTGTCCCAAGACAGCCCTCCTCGTTTTCGGGCTTCTTGCAGTTGGGACTGCCATCCGCCATGCCCTTGTAGGTATTCCATGCCGCCCCCGGCTTCGCCTGCGGTTCGCATTTGGCCAGGTCGATTCTGGCAGTACCAACGCCCGCACAGTGGTAAGTGTCTGAACTGTATACCAACAACAGGTTGTTTGTTGTTCTTGTGTGTTGTTCCTTTTGTTTTTTTCTAACACCCAAAATACGTTAGAAACATACACAGCTTTTTCGCTGTTTAAAGCATGAGATCGTATTGAGTGTGAATTTCCATGCCTGTGTTTTATTGTAGGCCTGTCTTTGTAACCGGTATCAAAACTTTAAGCTAAATAACTCAAGTCCATTAAAATAAATACCAAAGTACTAACAAACAATCCACTCATTCCGAATATTTGTTATATCAGAAATTGGTAACTTGTGTTCATTTACGGGTTTAGGTTATTTTAGTTAAACATGATAAACATATTCTAAGGAATAATGGCACACGGGTATTACATTCAAGGGTTTGAACTTACAGTGAAAGTTGAAGAATAAAAGTTAGAAGTAAAAGCCTGATGGTTATTATATGATCACCTGAGTTCATTCGGTTGGGGTGGATTTATTTCTCATTTTATCATTGATTGAACTCTCCCTATCCCTAAAAATATAATGCTGCGAACTCCTGTTAAAATGGTATTTTATGAGGGTTAAAGTGTTATTGGTGACATTTACTTTATCACATATTTGATTCTAGTTTACATGTGAATTAAACAAAGTAAATGATGCCCTGACAATAAAATTAGGAAAATCGCTTTTTTTTTTACTTCAAAGTGCAAGTCAGTGTTTTCATTAGTATTTTGGAATGTTGTCAACGATTAGTATAAATTATATGCATCAACCTTCGCCAATGACTCTAAAATAGTCCTATAATTAACCAGCCAGAAATATATTATTTACAGTATAACATGCATTTTAGTTATTTCTAAAACATTTACAGACATGCGTGAATACATATGTTTTTTAAAATAGTTCTCATGATTAAATGTCTACACTTTTAAACGCTTCAAAGTTCATAACTGACGAAATTACATTCTGGACGTGACGCGGGCGGTTAAACATATCGTAGTTTGTAAGAGTTAGGCCTAAGACATTCAAGTAACTGATAAATGCTAGCTGACTAAATATTTATTCTAACATTTTGTAATGGTGCTTAAAAAAGTAATAATGAGGTTTAATAATGATAGTTTATGCTGAGAATGTTACATCATTAAAGTGACATTTAGTTTTAGGGTGTGTTGTATCTTTTGTGCTTTTTAACTTAAGGACCTGTAAAAGTAAGAATAGGGTAAGAACATTTGTAGTATATACCTGTATAGTTTGTTGTTTGAGGTTCTTTAGCTTTGAGATCCGTTTCATAATTAAGTAAGAACAGTACCAATAATAATAAGTTTATTTTCCTTCTGTACCAAAATGTAGCCTACCATATGTCAGTATTAGTAATACAGTGTCTATGGTATGTTGTTTTTCGGTTTATTTATACTTCTATCTGAAAAGATTTTTTTTTTATTGAACACTGATGTTATGGTTTCAAGATGGTGAAATCGTAAGATATTTTACAGTCATTGCAAGTCTTTCATTTGCAATGACTTTGTGAACTTCGTATATTTTGAGTCAATATTTTATTTGTTTCTAATTTTAGCCTACTTTTGCATACAAAATATGTATAAATGTTCATTAACTAGTTTGGTGTAATGATATTCGTTTAGTGTGAAGGGAATCCAACACTTTTTCTTAATTGTCATGTTCAAGGACTTCTCGTGCAGGATATATTTGTTTACTTGTAGTAAATATTTATTGAGTGACATATCTGGCTGATTTCTATCGTTATGAGTTATGTGAAACTGTAACCTGAAGATATATACAGTGTGAATATATATATATACGTATATATATGTATATATGTGCATACACCCACTTACAGTCTGGAAATTAACCACCTGAATGCGGCGGCAATTGTCATAGTAACTTTAAATTCCCAACAGCAGTAATTTTTAAAAGCCTTTTTCTGATATACATTTTATTTTTCATTTCTTGAAGTAAAGTATGTTTGACATCGTAGTGTTTATGACTGTAACAAGAATTACTGAATCCAGTGGTTTTAAGCTTCATATATGACTTGACACCCATTCGGATACAATCTCTAAAGCAGGCTGAATAATAGCCTTTTAATT